TGGGGGGGGGGGGGGGCAATGAAGTTTTTTTTTTTGAATGCTGGGGCGGTCTGTGTTGCTTTTTTAGTGCTTTGGTGAGGTTCCGTGTTCTCAGTTTGCGAGACAATGTTTTCTTCTTTCCCTAGAGACAAGTCTGGTTTTGATCGAAATCAGTTATTAATAGCTGCTGCTGCAGTGGTTGTCCCTCTATCCTCATATCCTTGTTGTTGCTGCTTGTGGTGGTGGTTGGTTGTTGTTGATCCGTTTGCCCATCGCTTCTCTGCTATCTCAACATGATTTTTTCCATATTTACTCTGGACATTTAAACCCTTGCATGACAACTCTCTGTTTTTTTTTTTTCACACACCGACACACGGCAAAACACCGTCGCCCCCTGTTGTTGTTGTGGACCGTGTGACCTCTGTCGTCGTCATCATCGTTCATCCGTTCGCACTCCTGTGTTTTGGATCGGCAGCCTGGGTACGAGAGACAACTTGGTGAGTACCCCCTTAGTATTTTTCTCTTTCTCTCTCTCTCTCCATCTATCTCTGTGTCTGTATCTTTCCCCCCCCCTCTCTCTCCCTCTCTCTCTGTCTATCTCTCTAACTCTAGATTAGTTCGTGATTTTTTTGTCTCGAGGTTGGCAAGGTCCAGGATTCGGACACTCAGGGTTGGCCTTACTATCTACTGTAGCAGCTGGAGGATCGGTAGCAGTCAATGACTTTGACACAGCTCCCTCGCACCTGATGAATCCTTCACGCTGAACCTGTTTCCGTCGATGACTTGGCACAGCTCAGTCACGACCTAAATAAATCGTCCACGCTGTACCTGTTTTCCATCGATGAATTGACACAGCTCACTCACACCTCCTGTCGTACGCGCTGTATGTACCTGTTTCCGACGATCACTTGACACATTTCGTTCACACCTCATGGAACCGTACACGCTGACCCTGTTTCCGTGGACCAATTGACACAGCCAGTTCCCTCACATCTCGCGACTCGTTACACGCTGTGCCTCTTCCCCCCCTCCAGGCACGGAGCTAGGGAAGACGCAATCCTGGGACTACAACGCCAAGCAGAGAGAGGGCACGCTCAAGCTGGCGATGCTGCAGATGCTGCAGATGCCACCCGCCGGGTTCGAGTCTGTCGTGAGGGGACACTTCTACCTGCGACGGAAGTGAGACTCCGTAGAATTGAGACATCGTAGATGTCGTAGAATGCAGATTTCGTAGATTTCGTAGATTTCGTAGAATCCAGTATTCGTAGATTCTCGGTCTGAGTGCGTCGTCAGGGGGCACTTGTACGTGCGACGGAAGTGATGAACTGCTGCTGCTGATGATGATGATGATGATGAGATGTGATTTCGTAGTTTTCGAGACATGTGACAACTTGACCCACTGCACTTTTTCTGAATTTGGTGAGAGTGAGGCTGCCCTTTTCGATCGCTGAACTGCTCTCGTCTCTCGCGAATCCGTCCCTGCGGTTTTCTTCATGCAGGTACTTGGAAGGGCTGGTGGCGCAGTACATCTCGGAGGCAACGGCCAGGCAGGGAAGCGGGCAGCACCTCAAGAGGCTGCAGGCCCTAGCCACCCAGGTGATGGCCGTCCTGCCCTTGTCGCTGTTGGTGTGGCGTCGTCGTTGCTGCCATGGGTTTGCGTGTGTTTTTGCAGGTGTCGTGTTGTGTTGTGTTGCGCTTTGTTGTGTTTTGGTGTGGTGGTTGCGGTCATGGCAGTGTGGTGGTGGCAGTGAAGTTGTCGGTTCACCAAATCGTCCCTGATGCCGTGCATCCCGCGTCTTTGCCGTGGCGAGAGTAACGGGCACCGAGCTTTTCGACCCAACTATGTCCTGCCCATTCCGTTTAATGGTGTCCGCCCACGAATACCCCCCCCCCCCGGGATGCCCGGATACTACACGCCCCCCCCCGGCGGGTGGGTATGCCACGCTCATTTTGATGGCGTCGAAATGAATGAGATGACGACTCCCCCCCCCTCTCTATGACTGTCGACACGAACAGTTGCGCGCACGTGTGTGTCACCGATTCGTACTTAACCGTCGGCAGGGGCCGTACGCTTGCGTTGCAAGGGCGACGCCTTCCAGTGCATGACAAAACACAGACAGATAGATGTTCGACTCCCACCCCTGATCTGTACTGAAGTACCACACACCCTTCATTGGGTGCGCGCCCATTTTTTGTCTTGATTCTTTTGCCCACAGCTGCAGGAGAAATTCGCGACGCTACAGCCGCCCACCGCTAGTTAGCCAGCCGCCCACCGGAGGGAGGGAGCAAGGCGTGTCTTGGCGTGGGGCAGCCGCGGGAAGGGGGAGGGGAGGGGGGGCGGCATCTGTAATCTTAGCCGTTGGGTGCGCCGTTGCCGTCGACGGCCTTATTCTAGCGTAGCACCATCGCACCTCCCCCACACGCGATGACTGCTGTGCTAGTAGGTCCAATCGCGTGCTGGCCTCCGAAGCGGAGACCATCAGAGCCTGGCCAGAGGGGCGGCGGAACACCGGCAACCGTATGGCTACCCCGAGGAAGTTTCTTTAGGGTTAGAAAATTCCTTGCGGCGAGGGACAAAGAGGGGTAGCGTCGTGTTGGACTACACCAGCGAGAGAGCATGGTTGTGGTATGTAAGTCAAGCCTGTCGGCACCACCCGTGTGGTCTGGCCTCGAAGAAAAGTCGGCAGTAGGCCGAGCCACTTGAGCAACAGCGGTAGTAGAATAGTCCGAACTGCGACGCGTATATGTATGTCGCCACGATCAATCAGCGCTAGGGTCCTGTGTGCCCTATCGTTCATGCACGGCCGCAGACTTCAGCCGCATGAGAGACCCTCGCTCTCATCCCTCGTAAGAAAGCAATATGAGCAACCCTCACTTCCATCCCTGCAGAGAAAGCCGTGGCAGGTCGGATCTTGACCTACTGGTGGCAGCGTAGGAAGGGGCAGAACTGGTGCCGTCGCGGAAGGAAGGGGTTTGGAGTTGGATTGGATTGGTCCGTGGGAGGCATGGTAGGCTCTGGGCGCGCTAGTGGAAAAGAAGCGAGCTGGCTTCGGGTCTTACACGTCCATCTCCTTGCAAGCGCTCTTTGTTGTTGTGGTGTTTTGTTTTACTTTATTTTCCTTGCTTGTTTGTGATGGTCGGCAACATGTCTTTGCGTACGTCGCGTGTTGGACCGTGTGGTCAGTTATTCATGGGTCTGATGTGTTCTTACATGCGTGTCATCTTATGTACGTGGGGTTGTTCTAGTTGTTTCTTACGCTGAATGTATGGGGGAGGACTTCTATTCACGTTAGTTGTTAAAGGTTTAGACGTACTGCATCCCCTTTCTTGCAGGGGGGTCCGTGGGGTCAGAAGATGATGCATCGTCCAGGAGATGGGGGGTGGGTCTCTGCTGTGGGCATACCGCGACCGTTTGTCTTTCTGCCTAGGAGGTCAGATCATGTCTGCCTTTACTCTGTCGACCCTCCTCGTCGTTCAGAGACGACGCTTGCTTGGAGAATTTAAATTTTTCGAAGGAATGGATGGCCTTGCTGATGGATGGAATGGCAACCGGTCGGTCACCGCCCACCAACATGATGAAAAAAACACACAATAAGAAACAAACGAGGATAAGGACCCACCCGTTGATTCGAGTCGTGGGACACCCAGGTTCTCTTCCACCAAAATCAGCCGTCATTCTCGTCGACCTCAACGAGAGAATCGGCCTCGAACGACACACGCTTTTAGGAGATTTGGGAGATCGTGCCCTCATCAACAGGGATGATCTCCATCCAAATCTCTTCGTGTGCTGTTTGATCCACTTGTTGTCTGTCCTCTCTGGCTTTGTTCGCGAGAGCCGGGTCGCCGAGTCGACACCATATGTATGTCTTTTTTTCGTGCACCCTCGGGTCTAGCGCGCGGAAGGCACGGCAAAGGTGAGAGACAATGGCTACTACATTTTTCTTGAAAAAAAGCACGACGAGTAATTGTGTGGATTATAGTAGTGTACTTGTCGAGCGGTATCGAGTTGGCCGTTATGCGTGCTGTTTCCTGATAAAATTGGCTAGAAATCTGCTAGAAACGTGGGGGAGACGTGTTGATCTTGTTTGAAGCGTGTAGAGTCTAGAGAGAGAAATAACGTTTTGGGCGGGGAATGGACCGTTTGTTGTCTCCACATTAACTAAGAAAGCGTTCCGGTCTCCGATCAGTTCCTTCTGTGATGCCCTTGTTTCACATGATGGGCCAACCATTTGCGACTGAAGCTTGCAAGACGAGATGAGGGGGTAGGTGGTCTTGCTTGGCAGGAACGAGGAAAACCGCGACCACAGCAAAACAGACACAGGCAAGTACTCTAGCTAGGACATTTCGCAGACAGACTCGTCCTGGATGCCAACCGCACACTCCCAACACAGCAAGCACTTGTGTGTGGTTCGAAGTCAGTCGTTGATGAGGCAGGCGGATGCTGCTGCTGCCCAAGACGAGCAAACGACGCCAAATGAGACAAATCTATTTAGGTTTTCATTATCAAGGACATTTGTATCTGCCCGCGTCTCAACCCCTCTTGCTACCCCGTGCCGAACGAGATAAGACTAGGCGAAGCCAAGACAACGTCGTTGCCTCGAATGGAAGAGAAGCAACTAAACGGCCCAAACCACACCTACCTGTCTTGTCACGTCCTGACAGCAACAGCAGTATCATGCGCCACGACTACCTCCTGTTCTCCCTGTTCTCTCTACAGGCAGTAGTCTCTAAAAGGCAAAACAGGAAAGAGTTCCCGTGGCTACTAAATATTAGCAACACACACGCGTACAAAGCAAATGAAGGGGAGAGGTCACTCGACCCTTCCCCTTTGATTGTTAGATATATAAGGAAAACAACCTGCAAAAAATTACTTCGGATCGGAAATGCCATTTCCCGCGGTTCACCAGATACGCATCGAGCCTTGAGAGGCTTCTAAGCCACAACGCTTGCGAACTTGCTTGAAAAAATCCTTATCCATCTAGGGGTACACAGGACAAAAACACCCGGCAAAAAAAGCCTGCAAATGTCGTCATCACCCTACGGGCTAGCACAACACATTTACTACCTTATCCTACCCTCTAGGATTCATCGACCACATCCAACGTCACAGAACGCTCTCTTAACGACTTGCGAAAAATGAAACAGGAAACATTGTGAAGGGACTCGCTGCTGCTTGCACCCTGCTGAAATGGTACATGCACGCGACTCCTCCAAAAAAGATTATCAAGGTACAGTACAACCCTTTTCGAAGGAATTCGCCGCTTGCGCCCTGCTGAATGGTGCACACGACTTCCAATGTTGGTCAAAAAGCACTAGCCTAATGCTGCACACACGAGATCATGCCTACCCCCAGTTCTTGGATTCGGAACACATGCTGCTTACTACCAGCTACCAACCACCCAAGCGTTGGCGGATGACCCGCACGTCACTCAAATAGCCCAGCTGGAAATGAAAGTTTCAAAAATCCTGTCTGTGTGGCCTCCCCTCCCGCGTGACTCCGACCGGTGCGTCGAAAAACACACCCAAACGAGCCGGCGTCAAATGGGACCATAGCACACACAAGAGCAGACACAAGATTTCAGTACTGACTGGTGCTGGTACTGCTGTTGACCGTGTTGAATCGCCCAGCGGCGTAACCCGCCAAGCGTTGGGCTGCTTGTCGGTTCGTACTTGCACCACGTTTTTCGCTCCCGTTCCGGTTCGTGGATTTTTCGGCTTGGCATAGGTCTATTATCATGCCACTTCCGCCTGCTGGAAAAATCTGCCAGTGATGGCCGTGATGATGTTGAGCGCGGGCAAGTTGTCGTCTAGCGGCGACTCCTGAAAAAAAAAAAAAGGGAAGGGGAAGGGGGCAAAACTTGAAAATGACAAAGGCACAAGATGAAATAGGTTCTGAAAAGGGTTCTGGGTGGATGCACTGATGCACTGACCACCAGGCACATCTGTGGCGACACTACTGACATGGCATCCAGAAACGCGAAACTACAGGGTGGTCGACGCCTTTTTCCGCGAAGCCTAGTCACGGATGGGCGCGCACTAGGGGGCTCTGCAACACGTTTGCCGGGGGAACAAAAGCACCAGGTTCACCATGGAGTTTGGTCTGGTTCCATCCTACATACCCCCCCATCCTGCAGTTCTGACGACTGCGTACCGCTCGAAGAACAGGGTGCACTACCTCCATCCCATCACGCTCTTCCATACTCAATAATTGCCATGACTCTCTGGCTACGCTGGTGCAGTTCGCAACAACTCTATTGGAGTTGTGGAGGAGTAGGAGGAGTAGGAGAGGGGGAGAGAGAGACGGTTTGCTCATGGTGACCTGAACGCCATAGGTGATCGGGGTACGTCTTGCCCGAGGTGATCCGAAAGACGTGGGTCATCGGTGTACCGTACCGTATACCACATAATACAACCCACCCATATACCCATGGTACAAGATACGACACCCGAGACGTACAAAGAAACAGAGAGGAATATATGGGTGATATACCACACAATGCAACCCACCTACATATATACCATGGTACAAGATACGACACCCGAGACGGACAGGGAAACAGAGAGGGAGATAGAGGCTCACCACTTCTGCTCGTTGCGAGCAACATCTCCGGAGAATCTCCCTCACCAACGCCGCCGTCTCTGATTGGCGTTCCAGGGATGGACAGATCAAGGAGACATGGTCGGGGGCGGCAAGGAAAAAACAAAAAAGGACACGAAATATTTCAAGATATTCGAAGCGAAGTAAAGCAGTAGGAGGCGATTGGCTTCAGCGAAAACTATTCCATGGCCCACTGAAAGCCCTACAGACTGGCGCCAGAATAGATGAGACGACAACATACACACTTGCTGACAACAAAAAAAACATTTGCTTTTTGTGGGAAGCAAGACAAAGGAAGGGTAAAACAAAAATAGAGAGGAAAACACGGAGCAAGGGATCAATACCGTAGGTGACATGACATGACACAAGGTACCACACTCCCTGGAACGATTTCAAAGCTCGGTTACTCCACGACAAAATAGGATGCGAAAAATCGTGTGGTCCGTTTTCGGAAAGCTGTCGAAGAGACGGTTCCGACGTCGCCGTTTTCGGCACCGCCGCAATTTCTGCTTTGGAGCAATCGAGCTTTTTAGATTAGAATCAGTCCCCGGGGTGTTTGGCATCTTGTGTCCGTCTCCCGTAGGTGGACGGATCGCACTGAGAGAGAGATAGCCCAAAAACAGAGCAAACAGACGTCCAAAAATACCAAAAGGCCCCAAAAGCAGAGCAAACAGACGTCCAAAAATACCAAAAGGCCCCAAAAACAGAGCAAACAGACGTCCGAAAATACCAAAATACCAAAGGCCCCGAAAGCAGAGCAAAAACAATAGTAAGCAGTCGACATGCCTCCAACGAAAGATAAGATAAGCGACAAGCCTCTCACCGCTTCCTAAGGGTTTCTCGAGGCACGCCAGCAGGGTGTAGATCCACACGGCTCTTGCTCTGTAACGGGACAACCACGACGACAGGATTGGTGGGTTGGGGCGGGGGGGGGGGGGGATACCAATGGCGACGAGGTCATGAACAAGCCCCAACTAAACGTTCCTTCTCTCTTCTCGCTTCCTCCACCGCTAGCCAATAGCGGCAGTAGAGGCGACACACCCTCTCGCACACTATTGTAGTGTGGAGAGGATGTGTACAGCAGCATATGCATCGTCAATGGTGTAAGAACGAGCGTGTGTTGTTGGTGTGATGTGCCCCTCTCCAAGGTCGCTGCCGCTGCAAAAACAAAAAAAAGACAACGCTGAGGGAGGCCAAGGTGTGCCACGCATGCTGCGGAACCCCTCGACGTTGTGTGCCCCAAGGAGGCTTTTCCGACGGAAGGGCGAGTGGTGGCTCGTCTGAGAGTACGTCGAGAAAAAAAAAAGATTGGCAATAGCAGCAGCTAAATGTATCTACCACCACCTGCAGACGAATTGTTCGGAACGACGGGGCCCGTGTGAGTGGCAATACGACACCGTTGAGCAAAAACACACCCAAACAGGGGCCTCGATAGATGATCCGATAGATGATCCGACTCAAACCAAGAGAGAGAGAGATACAGAGAGAGAGAGAGAGAGTGGGAGGGAGACAGACAGACAGACAGACAGACAGACAGAGAAGGAAGATACAGAGAGAGAAGGAATAGGGAGAGAGGCAACTGATCGATTCAAGCATCACGGGCGGTCAGACGACTCTTGATTGGTAGCCCACCTCGAGAGGAGGTGGTCCCGTAGCCAATCAGCGTGAAAGGCCAGGACCTTTTGCGTCAAGACCTGGGACAAGCAGGAGGAACAAGAACAAGTAAAGAGCAGGGGGGGGAGTCGCAACAGGGATCGGGAAGTAGGGGGTGGGGGGGTCGCAACAGAGTTCGAGTAGGAGCACATATGCAAAGCATGCTCCTGTGCTATTTACGCGATCAAATTCGATGGGTTTGAGTCCCGAACCATCAACACAGCCTCACTCTACACACAGTCTCGCGAAACAGGAGAATAGCTCATCTGGAAGTGAGTGCAATCCCGCTCGTTGCTTGCTGGCCGGCTAACCTCCCTCTCAACCAAACTAGCCGCTATACGCCACCATCAGACCACCATAGCACAGCATAACACAGCATAGCACAGCATAGCACAGCATAGCACAGCATAGGACAGCATAGGACAGCATAGCACAGCACACACACACACACACACACCTGATCGAACTGCATGGCTAGTCGCATCGTAGGGGGGGTTCCGTGGGGGTGCGTCCGCAGCCACTCCCTCCCCGTGCGCCTCTCCGTTTGTCCAATCTGCGCGTCCCCCGAGGCCGTCGTAGATGCGGATGCCACTGTGGGTACCGCCGTTGCCGTTGTCGCCGAGGAGGGGGATCGAGGTTTGCCGTCTCGTCCCTGTTCCCTTTCCTCCTCTGCGGTTGCCTTCCCGAGAGTGGCCGAGAACATGTCGAACCTGACAAATTAGACGACAGCAGCAGCAGCAGCAAAGGCAACGGCATATTAGACGGCAGTATGTAAATAGCAGCAACACAAAAGACACACAAGGATGGTAGTTAGCGCGATCGATGCAAAAGAAACACACACACACACACACACACACACAAGACAGCCGACACGCGCGGTCCATGCTAGTCGAAGAAATAACACAAGAACACAACACAGTAGTTAGCGCGGTCAATGCAGCAAAACACATATACGAAGAGAGACACCCACCAACACGTCGCTTCTCTCGAAGGGGACCCTGCAGTAGCACCAGCACAACAAAACACACTCACGGCAGATAGATCAGCCAATGCAAACACGCACACACGTCCATGACGCCTCCCTCACGGCGTCCCAGGTCAATGCCTTAATTAAACAAGCACTTCCAGCCGCACTGAGACTGGTGTACTTTCATTGCCCAGCCGGTTAGCGCGGTCGACCAAAAATACACACGCACACACATATACCCTTAGACACACAGGAGTGATTAACGAGGTCGATGCCAACAATAAAAAACACACACGTCCCTCCTGTCGGCAGAACCGCACAATTTCGTTTTTCCTCATCAAGACCGACATATTTTCAATGTGCAGCCGGCTAGCTCGGTCGACGCCAATAATAAACAACCACACTCATACATACACACCTGTAGTTAACGCGGTCGATCATGACAAAATACAAAAACACACGCACACTCAAACACACAGTAGTTAGCGACGTCGATCATAGCAATACAAAGAAAACACACGCACACTCAGACACACAGTAGTTAGCGACGTCGATCATAGCAAAACAAAGAAAACACACGCACACTCAGACACACAGTAGTTAGCGACGTCGATCATAGCAATACAAAGAAAACACATGCACACTCAAACACACAGTAGTTAGCGACGTCGATCATAGCAATACAAAAAAAACACACTCACACTCAAACACACATTGGTTAGCGACGTCGATCATAACAATAGACAAAACACACACTCAGACACACAGTAGTTAGCGACGTCGATCACAACAACACGTAACTAACAAACACACACTCAGTCCCAGTTAATGGCATTTAGAAGTGATGTTGGCGTTTTTAACCGCACTAAGATTGACGTCTTTTCATTGGTCAGCCGGTTACCGCGGTCGATGCTAACATAAAAAAAACACACACACTCAAGACACACACACGCACTCACATGGCGCTGCTCTCGACTGGTGCCGTGCAGTAGGTGCTCTGGGCGTCATCGTCCCTACGGGGATCCCTCGAGCCGCCGCCGCCGCTCACGGCTGCTTCGGAAGTGGTGGTAGTGACGGAGGCCGGGGGGGGAATGGGCTGCTGCTGCTGCTGCTGCTGCTGCTGCTGCTGCTGCTGCTGCTGCTGCTGCTGCTGCTGCGTGTCGATGGGCTCCGAGGTAGGTGACAGCAGGGCCGATCCGCTCGCAAACGTGGACCCCGCCTCTGCGGTGATGACGTCACGCCGCGTCATGTCCGCCCGGAGGGGGAACAAATGAGAGCAGCCATCAGCAGCAGTTGTAGCAGCAGCAGGTGCAGCAGCAGTAGTAGTTGTAGACGCAGCAGTTGAAGCAGCAGCAGCAGCAGCAGCAGCAGCCGTAGTTGTAGTAGCAGCAGCAGGAGTCGGAGAAGCAGCCAAAGCAGCGGCGGCAGATGCAGCACCAGCAGTAGCAGCACCAGCAGCCAGTAGCAGCACCAGCAGCCAGTAGCAGCACCAGCAGCCAGTAGAAGCATCAGCAGCCAGTAGCAGCAGCAGCAGCCAGCGCATGTGTTTTCGTGGGGGAATACAAAGGTGTGTATGGAAGCAGTGGAGGGCGGAGAAGATGAGACCGCCCGCGAGTGAACAGAGGCGGCAAGAACAGCACTACCGCAGTAGTGCAACAAGAAGGTGTGTAGATCGTGACACGAGCTCTGCTGTCATTGTGGTTGTTGCTGACTTCCGTAGCTGTATTACTCCACAGCCGAGAGGTCGCTGTGGAAAGAACTCGCCGAGAATGCTCCTTGTATTAGACCTATCAGAGTCGATTTTCGCATCCTCTATTTGGGTGTGGGAGTAATCGAGCCATGAAAGTCGTTCTAGCGAGGGGATGGGTGCAAAATCCATCGCACACTCCTGGTGATTCGTGGAAAAACAAAAGCCCACGAAAACAAAACGACTTTGTTTTAATTCAAGATGGCTGAAGAGGCTATAAGACACACGCACAGATCGACAAACAGACAGAGCTAAGTATTATCGCACCCGGCGCCATCCATCTCTCGGCCTTCAACGATACAACCCGATATTTGCCGTCATCATCCTTGGCAAGAATCCGCCCCCCGCGTCTCGGGAAAACGCAGTCAATGGTACAGCCATACGGTATACAGACAACCGCCGCACCTGACTCCACCACCTCTTCGTCGTCCTCCTCCTCCTGATCCGCGTACCCGAGGCAGAAGATGTGCCAGCCGGTGCTGTCTTTCAGCGCCGGCACGGGCTCTCTTTCCGCCGGGCTTACCGCCGCCGTCGCCTTCCACCGCCGCATGTACTGCACGACAACAACAAGCAACAGCACGGCACAGGCGTAGCAGATTTGGGGCGGGGGGAGGTGTAACAGCACAGCACCGACGAAGCAGATTTGGGGCGGGGGGAGGACGGAACCCTTGAGATACAGCAGTATAGTGGTATCGGTCCCTGTACCAAGAGTGGTCCCTTAATAAGGCCGCATGAAGAGGGCCGGTAATCCTGTACATGACGAGGCCCATGATATCGCGCAACACAGCAGCATTCGAGTTGCCTTGCACCCTGCCCAGTGCCAGGTGCCTCGTACAAGCCCGGCCAATTCCCTCGGCACTACAATGCGACTGCTGTGTTCGGTTTATTTCCTCTCCCCACCCAAGTAAATAAAACAGGGTGGCACCCCGACGTTCGGAAAAACATACCTCGTGACACGCGACAAAACCCCTCGTGTTCGTGCACTTCAAAATCGAGAGTTGTAAACAACAAACATTTATCGAGCTGAGGGAAAATGGCAGAAAACGCAACAAAATTCGGGACAGCGTTTTATCGCTGTTATTCTGCATTCGAGATACAGAGGACGAACACCACACGAAATATTATTCTCGTACAGCTGTGGGGCGGATTCTGCAACACACTTGCATGTACACGTTGAGCCGACAGCCATAAACAGCGACCAATACCTACCAAGAAGATGAACAACACAGCAACAACAGCAACAACAGCAGCAGCAGCAAGCACAGCAGCAGCAGCAGCAGCAGCAGCAGCAGCAGCAGCAACGCCATCAACAACAAGAACCAACAACAGGAACACGATCAAGAACAACGCCATCAACAACAAGACCAAGAACAACGCCATCGGCAACAACAACCCTCGTCCGTATCGTATCGTACCTGCCGCAGGTCGACGAAGGTGGAAAGCACCTCCAGCTCCCATTCCTCGCTCGGCAGCAAGTACTCCGGACAAGCCGGCACGGGCTCAGTCGACGGCATGTAAAGAGTCTGGCGGAGGCGTAACCAACACATTACGGGAGGGGGGGGGGGGGGGGGGGGGGGCAACGGCAAAAAAAACCGGGAAAAAAGAAAATTGTGAAAACCCCCCCCCCCAAAAAAGTTTGCCCAAACCAAAAAAAAGGGCCCCGAAAAAAAAATTTTTTTATCCATCCAATCAATTAGGGGGGGCCCCAGGGAACAAAGAAACTTTTTCCAAAATTTAAAACCGGGTTACCCGGGGGAAAAAAAGGGAGGGCCTGGTTAAAAAAAGAGCCCAAAAATTTAACCCTTTAATTTTTTGGGCCCCCCGGTTTTTTTTTGGGCCCGCGGGGGAGGGGGGCCCTCCCCCCCCCGGGAAAATCCCCCATTTCATCCCGGTAAGGAACCAAAAAAGGAAAGGGTTTCCAAAACGAAAAGGGGGGGGGCAACAATAACGGGGGGGGAGCCCCCCAAGGCCCGCCCCCTGTTAGAAACCCCCCCCCCTTTCAGGGGGAACCCGGTTCCCGGGGGCAAGGCAAACCTAATTCAAAAAAAAAAAAAAAAAAAATACCCCCCTTCCCCCAAAAATTTTTGCCTGTTAAGA